ATTGTATTCTAATTCAAGGTCTCAACGAAAGGAACCGTTTTCTATCAACTACTGCCCTTCTATCTGTTCTCTTATCAAAGTACGGGGTGGAGGGGGAGGAGGGGGGAGTGGAACTAGTTTTATCCTTCATGGTACTCTAATGAAAGGTCTCAACGAAAGGAATTAATTTCTACCAACCATAGCCCTCCTCCTCGACCACTTATCGTGATCGGGTATATTCCCTTCTACCTCAAGAACGGATTGTCGGAAGGGGGTACTCACAAAGGGCGATTGAGACGTCTGCAACAAATATATCCATTAGTGATGTCACAACAAACGCTATTTCGGTTTTAAAAATGCGCTTTATCCGCATGAGCTGTGCACAATTTATACTTGTTTATTTATGAAGGTATTTAAATGAAATTTGATACATAGCCACTTGGAATAAAACAAATTTAATGCCAGTTTCAAAATTTGGTTTTGCGCATGCGCAGTGTCAACTTTCTTATTTACGGAGACATTTAAATAAAATTTGATACATATCCACTTGGAATAAAAGCAAATGTAGCGCTATTTTCCAAATTTGGTTTTGTGTAGGATGTGCAGTGCCAACTTTCATATTTATGGAAGCAATTAAATGAAATTTCATACATATATTTAAATACAAACAAAACTAACACCAGGTTTAAAATTTGGTTTTGCATCTGCTATAGCCATACCCAGGAGCTCGTTTTCTATATTTATTTAGTTTATTTAAGTCGAAATTTAAACCAAACAATTTTACCGCAAGGAAATAAAATTATGAATTGTGTCTCAATTGTGCCTAACTGTGCATTGTTATATATCATTTGTACTTTTTCATTTCGGTGGTATCTAAAATACTATTAGAAGGGGAAGCTTCTACTTATTGTCATTTACGAAACTGTTAAATCAGGTTATAAGTAGCTGTTCAACTATACCATTTACTAACGAAGATCTTTATCTTCTATTGATAGGGTCGACTATTCGAGTCCTTAAAAGCACACTTTACATAATATCTACAATACTGTTTTCTGGAACGGAATGTAATTTTATTATATCAAGTAATATACGAATGATGGTCAAAGAATTGTCAAGAGGATATAATATTACTTTGAAAATATAATAGCTGGATGTAACCTAGCGACAAAACATCTTAAAGGGACATTTCAGAAATGAAATACCTTTGCCTTCAAAACATTTCTGCTTGACTTACATGAATATTTCAATTTCATCCAGAAATCTTTACCGGACGTTTCCAATAACTCATCGCAAACTTTTTCCCTCTCAAAAGTACCTACATATTTATTTCATAGCGTTTGATGTTTGTAAGTATATCACTTTATTATGGCAAAAATGATCGGGGCAAATTATATTAGGAACGTTTTCTTCTGTTAGTTTCTCTTATTGTTTCGCCCTAAAAGTTCATTAGAGCTTAAAAGTCTATAGCATTAATGTTGGTAGATCAAAGATAATGAAAGTTTAATTACCTGTAGGTCATGAACTACTAATCGTAACTGCATATCGGCACTGAGCACAAAACGACACTACGTAAAATAATCGAAAAGTTTCACATTCTAATAATATATTCGTAAACTTGATCCCAAGTCAACTTAGGAAATTCGTTTACATAAATTAACAATTCCGTATAATTGGTAGCCTCTTGCAGCTCGGGTGCAGTATTCAGATACGAAAGTTTCAAGTGTAACTTTATACAGGCAACCTAAGCGCGGAGTCGTCATGCCTAATTACTCCAACAAATCCTTGCCAAACTTTTGTTATTATACTTGCAAGAACACTTTTTTTTATTTTATTCGTGTTATAAGTATAACGCGCTAAAGATGTTAATAGAAACATTTCTTCTACGCTTTTAAATTACATCTAATTTGTTTAGCGGTCCCAGGAGTTAAGACAATATTGCTGGTAAAATAAAAGTTAGCGTTTAGGGTTCCATTCTTCTAACACCCTTTCTATCGGTATTTATTGCTCGCAATTTAATCGAATGCGAGGAAAAGTAAATTACAAGTAACTAAAACGGAAGTACAACGAGAGTAGAAGTAACATTTGCGCGATTAGTAAAAATACATACGCAGCGATAACTCTATGAGCGAATGTGTTTTAGAATTGTAAGGAAATTAATTATTTCATTTATTCATAACCCAAGTTGGTATTTTATTTAAAAAAGCGAATTAGCAATATAAAGAAACAGCGCGGGTAGAAATGCAATTTTATTTCGGATGTAAATAAAATAAGATAATAAATACTGCTTTACGTATGTATATTCGGGATGAGATAAATGAAGCGGGCCAGTGTAATTAGAATGAAAACGGAAAGTTTGTTATATACGTCTAATCGTTACCGAATGTTGAATGACAAAAATCTTGGAATATCAAATCAAATCAAAAACGTTTATTAGTTAATTGAGACATACATATTACACAATGGTAGCTGTTCAGGGAAATGTCCTCTTCAGCTAGAAATTTACATTAAAGGAATTATGTAGATATTAGGTACATAATACAAGG